TCACTGGACCCTGGCTGTCTTCCTGCGCAGGCGAGGGTTTGGGTTTTGGAGCTTCGGCGCAGCAAGGCTAATAAGAATGTTAACTATCACAGAATAATATACACATTCGTACATCTATGTATATATATATATAGTTATACATACATATCTATAAATAAGTAAATAAATAAATAAATATATATATATACTCATCTATATATATATATGTATATATATGTATGTATGTATACATATATACATACATATATATATAATAATGATTATTATATTGATTATTTTTACTACTATTATTATTTCTTCTTCTTATTCTTATTATTATTATTATATATATATGTATATAGAGTTCTAGAGGCAGGAGTAATCACCAATACTATTTCGTGGAGCTCGCATAATGTACCAGAAAACCCACTTCTGATTTATTCAGGCCTCTGTAGTTGGGTCCTTTGCTCTGCGGGTGTTCTTCGAGATGTTGCGGATTAGGGAGCCTGAGCAATTAGTAACGGCATTCCCTCATAGTGCGTAGAAAGATATTCTCGAGAGACATAACATCATAGTATACTACGACATAAGTTAATATATATATATATATATCACGACTAGACTGGACTGGACTGGACCAGACTGACAGAAGCCTAGACTGGGCTAGACCAGATTTCCTGGCCCTGTGCTACTCCTCATCGCTGGCACTCAGAAATCGTGCCTTGAGGCACTCGAGGAAGCGAACATTTGCAGGCAAATCGGGGCACAGAATCTGAACCACAAGAATGTGGATCGTACTTGTGGATCCGATCACAAAGACATTATTTGTTCAGGGCAGCATTACAATCCTATAGCCCGAACTCCCAAGGGGTCCTAAGAACCCATATACTAGACAGTGGGGTTTCTATATTAGAAGTAATGAATGTTGGTTTGGGAACGTGTGGCCCACAACAGTACCTAGGACCCTTGAGGACCTCCTGCTTGTCAAGCCCAAAACCTCCAGCACCGTAAAGCCCTGCAACACGAAAATCGAGCAGAGCCTCGCAATGCAAAATCGGAAAGCCACAATCCAATCCAAAGCCCTGACCCCTAAACCCTAAACTCAATCCAAAGCCGTAAACGATGGATCCTCCAAGAACCACCTCGGCCTGCAGCTCGCAACTTCCTGCAGGAGCGCCTTCGAACCCTCCGGAGAGCATAGGCGAAAAAGACATGGGTGCTTCGGTTTAGGGGTTGGGGCCCTGAACCCCAAATTTGAACCCTACTCTATGATACGTAGTATGGGCCCGGGCCGTTAGCAAAAGCATGCGTAGGGATCCCTTATAAGCCTTACACATTCAGAACATACCCCAAAATCCTACTCTAGCTACTTCAGGCCCAAACACAGTAGGGTTGAGAGTTGGGGCTTCGCTACCACACTGAAGGGCGGTCGGGCTTCAAGGTTGCAAGGTTTTTCGATCTGATTTGGTCTGCTAAAATTAACCGGTTTTAGGGTGTACCCTAAACCCTAAACCCCAAAAGGTGCGCGACCGGGGCTTGTGGCAGTGTATGAGTGTTTGGCGCTCCTTGGGTTGAGAACCTGAGGTTGATGTCCTTGTTTCTTCATTCATCAGGCAGAAGCACGACATCCAAAAGCCCCCCCCTAAACCCCCAAACCCTGAAGTTCCCAACCCTGAGCCCCTAAAACTTAAACCCCTAAACCCTCAAGTCCCTTTAGTCCCTAAACCCTCAACCCCTAAACCCCTGCATCTAATGTAGGGGCCTAAATAATCATACCAATACTAGTTTGGGATTTCCTTACTATAATTATAGTATAATGGGCCCCAAAACAAATTCTAATCATTAAGGCCCCTATATTAGAATCGTTGGCGCCATCATTTCGATCTGTGGGCTTCGGACCGACTTCCGGACCTCGTCATGAGGGAAAGGCGTTCGGGCCTGTTCTCTTTCGACAAAACAGAAGTTTATGTTTTCGGATTTAGAAGTTTAGAGGGTTTAGGGTTTTGAGGGTTTAGGGTTTAGAGGGTTTAGGGTTTGAAGATAGAAGGCCGGATCACGTTCCTCAGCGGCGTTTCTTTCATGGACAGGTTCTTGAGGCTCAGGGTTTGCAGTCTTACGGTGCCGCAGCCCAGATCTCGGTTGCAGCACCTACCGAAACGAACATAGAAAGGCCTGTCCCCCGTTGCTCGAGCAGGATGCAGGGCAAAAGACTAAGCTCTATAATTAAACCCCATAAACCCTCAACCTTAAATTAAAGCCTGAACCTCTAACCAAACCCATAAAACCCCGCCACCGCTAAACCCTACTTTGAAACCGCTATAAGCTCGTAAACTTCAGGAAACCCAAACCTAAACCCTTATATGAACCCTCTCATAAACTTATACTAAACCCTGATCCTTAAAGCTTTCTATGAACCCTGAAGCCCAGACCCTACCTCGACTTCGCTTCTCCCTAAAGTGGGGCTTTAGGGCCTTGGGGTTTATAGGATTTAGTGTTTAGGCTTTAGGGCCCTTGCGGTTTTCCTAGTGCCCGCAATCGGGCCGGCTGCAAATGTTTGGAGCAGCGGATGCATCGGAGCGCCCGTGCCCTCGCTCAGGCACGGTGTAGAGCTTTAGGGCTTTAAGGGTTCAGGGTTTTACTGTTAGTGTTTAGGGCTTGTTTTTTAGCATCCCCGAGCAACAGGAGCTCCTTCCCAAGTCTGTGCTGAACATGATAGGATGTGTGCCAAGGCTCCGCCAAGGCCTTGTTCTTGTCGTACTGAGCCCTTCTGTCTCAACCACCAAAACCCCTCAAACCCTAAACCCTAAACCCTAAACCCTAAACCTTAACCGAGGGCTTGAATCGAAGGAAGACACAGAAGGCTTCGGGAGAGAGCCTGTAGGCATATGCATCTTTCACTTTGGACAGAGGCTCTGAGTTTTTGCAGAAGAGGGCATCATTAGCCATGAACACACTGGCCCCCAAGTCTTGCCGCCCTGAACTCTGGCTAGGGTTTAGGGCCTTTGGGGATTAGGGTTTCAGCCCTTGCCTAGAGAAAGGAGAGAGAGGAGCCGCAAGTGAAGCCGCATTAATTCGACAACAGCAGGGAAAGTGAAAGTTGGACACAGGTTTTTTGAAGACTTCCTTTACACAAGGCAGCTCCCTAGCACCCAAAACCTTATAAACCTTGTAAGCCCAAAACCAATGGAATCAGTTCGATTTCAGCAGCGGTCTGCGGATTGGTCATCATATCTCCTAGGTCTTAGTTGGCGTAGCGTCTTCCTCATTGCCACCCCCTCCTTACAAGGAGTACTCTAGGAAACGAGTTTTCAATCCTTGCACTAAGGGGGGAAGGGGGGGGGAGGGTTACAAATCACGGGCCCAAGATGAACCCCGCAATCCAAAGCCCGGAGTTCGAGCTCAGGACTTCCAGGGTTTCAGCAGCATGCCCTAAACCCACCTGGGAATCCAAAAACCTACCGTTTTAGGGGTTCTACCCTCAAATTAAGGGGTCATAACCTACTATTTTGTAGGGTTTGGGGTCACAGGCAAAGGCAACCTCACAGAAGTCTACGTTTCCTGGACTCTGAAACGAAAAAACGCTAAACCTGAACCCTAAATTCCCTAAATCCTAGTCCTAGACCCCCAAGCCCTAAGCGGCTACGTAGCCCTAAGCTCTTGTTTTGCGGAACTTTATTGCAACTCCATCGAAGATTCCACGAGGAATTCTCCCCGGCCGGGCCGGGCGTAAGCACGGCTTTCAAAACGCGGCCATAACCGCCATAACCCTAAACCCTAAACCCTAGGAGTTTAGGGTTGAGTTAGGGTTAGGGGCTTGAGGGTTTCAAGTTGTTCCTGGGGTCCTCGCGGCAGTCGCGAAGAAACAGTTGCCAATTCTAGTCGCCGGCGGTCCTATAGCCTGGATAGTTTTCTCTTAGTGTTCTGCTTTAAGACTTTAAGGCCTGTTGCCTACATTACCCTAACCTCCCAGGTACCTACTATATAGGGCCCTAGGGGCTCTAGTACCCTATATAGTAGGTACCTGGGAGGTTAGGGTTATCCAAACACGGATGCTTTCTCAAGCCATCCCCGAATCGAAAATTTCGTCTCAGGCTGCGAAATGGACGTTGGGGAGGCGTGGGCCCCAACTAACCCTAACCTCCCAGGTACCTACTATATAGGGTACAGAGCTTGCTCCGAGGGTTTATGTCGTAAGGTCTGAATCGTGGCACCAGACCAGCGCTTGGCGGCATAGTATGTTGTAGATTGCAGATACCACCAAGAGGCTAAGAGGCCTGATGAGTTGTACCCTGCACCCCAAATGCCTTAAACCTTTCGGTTCTCGCTGCGTAAACCTTAAGGCATGCGCTTTGGGGGCTCCTTCAAGTCAACGAGACACGACTTAGGGTGTAGATGGGTGTAGGGTTATGCACGAGAGTTGCGACGCTAAACCCCCTTAGCCCATGCTAGCACCCTAGCTTAGCACAGCACAGCCCTACCCTGCACGGCAGCCATTCGCGCCGCCACGCAGGGAGTGGAAGCAGCATCGCCAAGCCAGCGGGTTCGGACCAGATTCGCCAATTATTTCTGGAGATTCGTCGCTCCTTGAGGGGCCGTCCACAACTCCAAGCAGCTTTTGAAGCAACGCCCCCGTGCCGCCGACGCATCGCAAGCTGCACTTGCTCTGCATCGCCTTGGCAGATTTTTCTCGGATTCCGCACAAGCGTCTGCACCGCATGCAGCTCTAGGCCCTGCAAGCAGCAGCCCTTCGCACAGCACGGCGGTATGAGGCGTTGCGGGCTTCTGGCAGCAAGGGTTCGTTTCGCAGTTGTTTTGGAATGGGGCGGCCCCTTTGGTCCAGCTTTCAACTATTCCATCTTGAGTGAAGGAGAAAGTTTTGCACCGCCTCGGCATCCAGGTAGCACTGGGGTTTCAAGAATTAATTACAATTAGTTGCCAATACTACTTCGGGCTTCTGTTTTCTACTTATAATAGTTTTTCTTGTGCCACTAAAGTCCTGTACGACATAGCTTGCACCTAATTGAGTGAGACGCGAAGACAGCCATGAAGGATAGTAGATGGCGCACAAAGCAGTGCTTTGTACATCGTCCTGTGTAGCGCCTCGACGAGTGGCACGGGGCGCACTGAGCCGACGAAGTGCACTCGTCTCTGCTCAGCCTGGCTCGTCACCCTCCACGAACGCGAACTGAGGGGCGAAACGTCGAAGTAAGCCCCTGCAGAATCAATGACAACAATGTCGGTGCAATGCGCGATGTACCGGAAGACAAAGTCAGCGATGATGCCACAAAGACCAAAGTTCTCAGGGGAGAAGGCGGTCGGCAGGAAGGCCGTCACCTGGTTCGCTCCAGTAGCCAGAGCTCCTGCGAGACTATCATCTTGAAGATCTTCCCAGTCAACATACAGCGTCCAATCGGTATAGAGCTTCTTGAGATGAGTGGGAGCGGCAACAGCAACAAACTCCCAAGCGTCACGATCGGCCGATGCTGCATAGGATGGCAAACCATACCCGAAAGCCCTATTCTAACTAGAATGGCCGCTACGTTAATGACCTGACATGTCCAAGGGGATGGCCAGAGGTGCCTCTTGCAGTCTTACTCCAGTAAATTCATGTTGCTATAAGACATTGTTGCTGTCAGAAATAGGCCGTTGACGGATCTGCAACTATTCAGCTCCTCAGCTGGTTAACCCCAGACCCGCAACCCTGAACCCTAAACCCTAAACCGATAACGGGAGGTTCGAGACACATGGAGGCCCCGGCGAGTACCTGCGCGACGCTGTCACAAAGGCTGGCTACATGAAGCCCCATAAGCCTTACAGACGGCCCTAAACTTGGCCCTAAACCCGTACGACCCCAAAGGCAAAAAAAAGCCCTCGGGCCCGAAGGAAAAATGCAGACAGATTGACGTAGATTGCTGAAGGCTGAGAATTAATAGGGTCCCTAGCTGCAACGTTCTCTTTACCCATAGGCCCCTAAGTAGTTCCTTCTTGGGATTACTATAAATATGAACCATAAAAAGGAACTACTTAAGGGCCTATGGGTAAGCACTCCAAGATCTTGTGTGCTATGGCCTTTCAGGCGAACCTTGACCAGGCACCGGAAACCAACGAAGACTTGACACATGCGGCCCTCAACGACCCGATCTCTAGACCATAAACGTCCTTTTGGCAATGCAAGCAGCCTGAAATGTGCACAAAGACTCTTACAAAGCCTGTCAGTGCTTCATCAGACCGTTTCGGTGTATACTGGTTGGTACTCCGTTTCTGCGATTTAAGGGCCTTGTCGGAAATTGAGTTCGAGGCGCAGAATGCAGGTCGCCAGGGTAGGCTCAGATAAGCATGATACGCGCAGGATCATCGGAACCCACCTTCCGAGAAGCTGGAATGCTTAATACCCTGGTCGGGGTACACAGTAGTAATTTCCCCATGAGATAGTCCCTGTACTACAATCACATGCCACAGCACCCTCTTTTCTTGGAGTCCCTAGAACTCTAGCCCTAAGCTCAGGCTTGAGGGTTTTAGGCTTTGGGGTTTTTCGGGGTTTGAGGATTTAGGGTTTCGGGGTTCAGGATTCAAGTCTCCAGCAGATTTTTTTTCCAGTCTGCGATGCTAAAAGCCGCTTAGCCCAAAATCCCAGCAACCCCTAATTTCCAAACAAGATGTTGGAACATAGAAGCCCGAGAATGTTTGTTTTGGGAAGTTCCTACTATGTGCGCGCATGTGGGTCTACCTGTACATATGTGCTTCGCATGTATGTACGTATGTATGTATGTATGTATGTATGTATGTATTTATGTATGTATGTATGTATGTATGTATGTATGTATGTATGTGTGTGTGCATATACCCGCACCACGCTTGTGTATACGTGTGTGCATATGTTTTTTATATGTATATGCATATGTCTATGTAGGTTTATATGCATGTGTATATGCATATGTATATGTACATGTATATGTATATGTATATGTATACGTATCTGCTTATGTATCCGCATATGTATACGCACATGTGTGTGTGTGTAGGTGTGAGAGAGAGAGAGAGAAAGAGAAGAACTGTACAAACTTAAATGATACCATCGCAATAATACATATAGTTGACGGACCCCCCCCTCAGGAAGCAAATTACGAAACACAAAAAACACAACTATTCAGGCCTGCCGCCCCGGCCGAGATGGCAAAGTCGATGGCAAAGTTGTGGCTGCCGTGGCAGAGCAGTATCTGAAGGCATTCGGGCTCAGAGGGGGTGTTTTTGGAGGAAGCCTGTTTGCTGTGGGACTCTGCACCTGCGTGAATGCTATGTCTTCCTAACCTCAGAAGACTTCAAGGTTACGTTTGGGTTGACTTTTCCTAAACCCGAAAACTTTTCCGCAACTTCGGCTTGATGCCCATTCAGAAGTCGGTGCACCACGCAGGCTGGCGACGCCGTCGGCGTTGGCTACCGCGTGGGGACCTCGCCAGGGAATGGTCTTCAGGGTTTTGGTGCTGTGTCGGTTTCGGATTTTTGGCTTCTGGGATCCTAGTGTTGCGCGCGAAGATCTTCCCCTCAACCCTAAACCCTAAACCTCAAACCCTAATCGTATGTAAGACTCATACATGTGCTGAGGGTGGGGATTGGAGTTATCTAGCGTTTAGGGGGGTTTAGGGTGTATCTCAATGCCTCCACGGAAATGGAGAGTGTAGTGCCGGTGCCGGGTTTAGGGCTGGTGGAATGATTGCAGTATACAAGGCCGGGCCTGAACCTTTAAATGCCTCAACCTCTACAAGCCCTGAAGCCCAGAAAATGTAAGGTCAACGACGAGAATATATGATCTTGATTTAAGAAACTGTAAGATAAGTTATGACAGCAGTATGATAATATGATATACCCATTGGCCCCTAAGTAGTTCCTTTTTATGGTTCATATTTAGAATCCGATAAGGCTATAAGGTAATCCCAAAAAGGAACTACTTAGGGGCCTATGGGTATATCATATAGAATAGGATGCAACCACCCGCGAACTAATATAGGGGCCTTAATAATTAGAATAGGGTTTGGGGTATATTATACTATAATTATACTAAGGAACCCTAAACCCTAAACCCAAAACCCAAAACCCAAAACCCTATTCTAATTATTAAGGCCCCCACATTAGAGAAGCCAAACCTGGACACCGCAGCTTTAGCCCTTTGAAGCCTGCAAAAAAACCCGAACTGAGAAAACCCCTAAATTCTAAAACCCTTCGGGTTTAGGGTTTAGGCTAAACCTAGGCCATCAATCTACACCCTAAATCTAAGCCCCAAATTCTAAGCCCTAAGTTCTAAACCTTTTCAACGCTAAACCTCAAGACCCTAGAGCCCCCTAACCTCCCAGGTACCTACTATACAGGGCCCTAGGGGCTCCAGTTCCCTATATAGTAGGTACCTGGGAGGTTAGGGGCCCTCAACTCTAAAGCCCAAGAGCCAGAACAGCTTAAAAGCCTGAAGCCCAAAAAACCCACAGCCCTGAAGTAATTCAGGTCTTTATCCTCAACCGCTTGGCTCATGCTGGCGGCCTGCGGGGCGGTCGCTCAGACGGACAAGTCACCCAAAGGGTCCTGCGGTTTACGGTTTATAAGGTTTAGGGCTATAGTTCAAGGTTAGAACGTAGGGTTTCTATTACTAACCTACGGTTTAGGGTGTAGGGTGTAAGGCTAGTTTAAGGTTAAAAACGTAGAAAGTAGGGTTTCTATAGTAGGAAATCGAATTATGGTTAGGGTAAGTATCCACATAGGTACTTAGGACCCTTTGGGACATTGGCCTTGCCTGAACCCTGCGGTTTACGGTTGAGGCTTTAAGCGTTACCTCAACCCAACCCTAAATCTAAACCCTCAACTCCAAGGGTTTAGTGTAGGCTTTAGGGTCCGATATGGGATTTCCGAAATTCCCTTAATGCTTAGTATAGGACCCTGATTGATATTTTTTTTGGGGGGGAACTCATAAAAACAACTGGGCTCTTTCGGGTTTATAGGTTTTCAAGCTTAGGGCTGACTGTGTTTAGATTTCGGGTTCGGGTTTGGGCTTTATTAAGATTTAGGGATGGGGCTTTAGTGTGTACTGGCCCTTTATGAAGCTATGCGTTTTCGTGCAAGAGCTGAGCAGCAGGCTGATCAGACACCGGAGTCGCACAAAGCCACAGGTCCGCCACATGCCCCCTACCATTTCATACACCCGCCCTAAACCCTGTAATACAGTAAGTTGGCATAGATTCATAGATAAAGGTAAAGGGCGCCAGGCATCCCCAACGAACACGCCCAGTACACACCACATACTAAGTATTACAATGGTGCGAGACCACTCGTAACTCTCAACGAGTCGAAGTCCTCACACACGCCCTGGATTCGAAGGGTCCAAGTACCTGAATTCGAAACCCCCTGTGCCGAATTATTAGGTCCTTTGGACCCTTAAGGGCTAAACCCCAAACCCAAAACCCTAAACCCTAAACCCCCCTGGAGACTTTTGGCATCGCGCCGGATTGGCTTTGGCGCCAGCTGTCGCCGAGCGCCTCGGAAGGCGTTTTTAATCTAGAAGCGGCCAGTAGGGGTTTATAGAAGTTCATACGGGTTCCGGTTTAGGGTGCAGGGTTTAGAGTTTAGGATTTTAGGTTTAGAGTTCAAGCTTAAGGTTTAGGGTCTAGGTGCAGGCTTGGGGCTACTTGGGTCTTACATTAGAAATAGAAGGGTTCATTGGAGCTCATGTACGCAATGTGGGAATGTTGGCATACGGCCCCCACGCAGCAACGGTTGAATAAGAATCATAGTATGGATATATTAGGTCCTTACTAGTAGCCTCTGTATAGAGTGCAATTGCATTGTCCCAGGGTGACTGCATTATGAGAGCTCATGAAGGTCATGTTCAGAGGGTCGTACTGCATTTTGCAAGTAGAACGCAGTGGCACCCTTTGTATTTATCGCAGCCATGCCCTTTGGATCCAAGTACATGATAGTCAGATACTCTCCCAAATACAATGCGACAAAACCCCAAAACCAAAGCCCCCAAATCCTAAACTCTCCCTAAACCTCGAATACTCTAAACTAGTACACTTTCCTATAAGCCCAAGTACTTACGGTACCTGGGAGGTTAGGGTACCTTCCACCGCCGTTTGGGACCGCAACAAAACGGAGGAGCTCAGTGAGTACACTCAGTACACTATCACAGCAGGTCTTTGCGCCAACTCGTGTGCAAGCCCCTGGGGGCACCAGGGGTTTAGGGTTTAGGGTAGGGGTTTAGGGGTTTAGAGTTTAGGGTTTAGGGTTTTAGGGTTTTAGGGTTTAGGTAGGGACGTGATCCTGGCGTGCACGCTGCAAAGCACCGAAGCTCACTACGAGGCGACGTGGGCTCCCACGTCAGATTAGCACTACATGTGCTCCCAACAGGGAATGGTGCGAACGCACAGGTCGGTATAAGGACAATAGGACAAGGTGGTTTTGATGCCGTAAATGCTGAATCCCGAAACCCCGAACCACCCTATAGTCC